TGATCGGCTTCCTGGAGCCGTTCCGCCGCCAGACTGACATCTTGCAGGGCGAAAAGTACCCCACTATGCCTGCTGCCCTCCTCTCGATTCGTGTCTTGCAGCACCACTGCATCGCACCTCTCCCACCCAGAGTACCTGACAACCCGGTCCAGGCGGTGCTGCGAACCCGCGCCCGCCAGGCCCTTGAGAGGAAGTGCCAGCCCACGCTGCAGATGCAGGTGGCGACATTTCTCTGGCCAAGGTACAGACATCTGAAGAGTCCATTATGCACTGAGGTGGAGAGGCAGGCGGTAAGCTAGCTTTTGGCAAAAGTGTGAGTTTTTTTCAACACCGATTATCTCATTTAATTTTTATTTATAGGTTTTCCAACATGTGCGGGAGGAGCTGGTGCGCATGGAGGAGGCAGAGGCAGAGGCAGAAGTTGTAGTGCCGGCCAAGCGAGCTTGTCGACCTCCTGCAACCGACGTCTACCCCGAGGACTGGGCAGCAGACGAAGGGGGACTCGAGGGGGTCGAGGATGAGGTGACCAAGTACTTGCGAGAGGCTCCCTCTGCAGCAGTCGATCTACACAATTTGTTGGCGTTCTGGGAAAATCACGTAAGTGAAGTTCATTAAAAGTATTAACTGTTGGTGTTAATAACTTGTTCTAACAATTTCTCTCTCTGTTTTTTTTGTTTGAAGTCTGACCCTGCAGTTGGGCAATACCCGAAACTTGCCAAGCTAGCCTTACGGGAGTTAGGAAAGTCGGCAACCAGTGGCTGCAGCGAACGCGTCTTCAGTCACGCAGGATTTCTGTATGACGACCGGTCTTCGGCTTTAAGTGACAGCACAGTGGACAGTTATTTGTTTCTTCACTCCTATCTCAGTGATGAAAATTAAATTTGAGTTCTTTGAGATGAGTTGAGTTGGTTATGTAAATTATTGTATAATATTAATTAAAATTGTTCATTGAAATGTTGAATAAATTTTGATGTATTTGTAAAGGTGAACCTTGACTTACTTTCTTTTACGTTGCGTGTGACCACTAGCACTCTAAAGAAATAAATATTTTTCGTGGCACGCGTCGCACGTGCACGGCACAAGCACGTGGGGGAGGGGGAGGTAAGAGGGTGAGGGTGGCGGTGAGGGGTGGGAATGAGAGTGAGACAGAGCAGTGAGTGGTGGGACAGGACAGGGAAGGGAAAAACAAGCTGGCGGCGAGCGAGCGGGCGCGCGCGCGCCCCCGCGCCCCACTGATGGATGGGGTTTTGAGAAATTCTACCTTCTTGAGACGAAGTGCTGCTTGTGGCGCAGCCTGGCGGCCGGCCGGAGACGCCACGGCCACCGCCACGCCACGCCACGCCTCGTCTCGGTTGGATGCTGTGGACCCGAACCGAGCCGGCAGTTCGGTTCGGGTCCACCCGAACCGAACGGGGTTCGGTTCGGACCGAACCGAACCGCTGCTCTCGCGGCAGGTGCCATTGGATTGGCCGGCCCATCCAATGCAGTGCTCTGGTTGTCCTAGTACCCCTTTACTATTTGGCGTCGAGAAAAGTTGCGGATTCACCATAGACCCGAAGCCAAGCCTTCAAAAGTGTCAGTAAATGGCATTTTTGGTAGATTTTTCAGATATTTGTTAACTTTGAGGCGAAATATCTCGAGTTCCCCACCTAGTTCAACGCTCCAAATGTTATCAAGTTTTGTCCTAGTACCCCTTAAGGCCAGGGACAGGTGAAAAAATGAAGAAGTTTGGTGAAATTTAATGAAATGAGTTCTGGGTCGAAAATGGTCCTTTGGACCTTCCTCTTTCAGGATCTGTCGGGACTTCGACTATCCGGGACCTGGAAGTGCTTAAAATACATCTTTTCGCACACTTCTGCATTTCCGACATTTTAGTAAAATTGTCCGTTTTGCCATCAAGGGGAGGTTCTGGTGAAAATCTTGCCATTTTCAAAATGAACCCCACTGTCATAATTTGTAGGGAATATGAAATCATACTTCACAGAGACCATGAGCTCATGAAGAGACTTAGATTTGATTTTTGAAGGCATATGCCAGGTCTTGAACCCAGTCGAATTTTCTTGTTTGGACTGTTTTCGCTTTATTTAGCCATATCTGAAAAAATCCTCTTGCGCATACTATTTTGACGTAAAAGGCTCATCTTCACATTTTGCACTTCTTCGATTCATTTTAAGAAGATTCCAGCATGCCTAGTTCAAAATTTCCATCATATTAGTAATCACATGCTTTTTTAATCTAAGAAGTCACTTAAACTTGTCTATTTTGTACATTGTTGATCAATTTAAGTGAAATGCATGCTTAAGAAGCTTGCCAATGATAATGTAATGGACATTTTCAGTTGTGCATGCTGGTATCTTTTAAAAATGAATCGAAGAAGTGAAAAATATCCAGGTCAACCTTTTACGACAAAATAGTATGCGCAAGAAGATTTTTTGGCTGAAAATCCATAAAAATCTGTCACCAAACTTTAAACGCCCTTTTCTCCGAAGACATTTTTTCAACATTTGAATGGTCCTGTGCGCATACAGTTTGAAGTGTCGTCAATGATATTTTTTCCACTGACTCAGTAGGTTATTGCGAGGAAACGCAAGTGACAGTTTTTGTATAATCCACCCAGAAGTATGGTTTTGGATATTGGTTTTTACAAAAAAAGGGAAAATCTTTGGTTTTTGAAAAATGTCGAAGTTGAAAATTTGGTATTTTGCTATCAGTGCCGGAAACTAAAATTTGTCACTTGCGTTTGTTCTTTGGACTTAGACGAACAAAAAAATATGTCAGTCAGGTCAATAAACCAAAATGGGAAACGCACAGAAATTTTTTAAGAAACACTTACAAAATTATAAAAAAGCCTGTATCTCAGGAACCGCTTGATATTATGGGATGGGATTTTGGGTGAAATAGTTTTTCATTAGGAGTAAGATTTTGACAGAAAATAAGAAGTTTTGGACCAGCAGTTTCTGAGATCATTTTTTCACCTGTCCCTGGCCTTAACTAGTTGGCGTCGAGAAAAGTTGCGGATTCGCTAAACAGCAGAAGCCATGGGTGTTAAGAACTGAAAATACGGCGTTTTTACCACTTTTTTCTCAAATATGGCGTCTCTCTGACGCTTGGATGGTCCTGTGGCACTTTTCCCACCAGAATGCGTCTTTCTGCATTTGTTTTAGTCAGTCAGAACAATAAAATATTTTTTTTCCCACTTTTCGATCTCGGCCGACGACCACGACGCTGCGGCCGCCACGCCTTCCGCCTGGACCTGGAAACCGCTTGCTCGCTCACCGCGTCGACTTGCCAGTGGCGCAGCAGTCTTGTGCGGCGGCAGTGACGATCTGGCCAGCACTCTCCGAGTCGAGTGGTGGTTGACGACGAGGCCCAACTTCTGTTCTACTAAAGGTAAGTGATTTTTCAAACGCCTTTCTGGAACGTCTCCAGGATCGCAACTCCCTCTTTCGGCATTGTCAGTAAGACAAGTACGGCGCCGTCGTCAAAGACCGGAAGTCAGTAAGAACGAATCCGTTGTTACGGTTAGAGATGGTGTGCAGGTGTTCATCAAGGAACTCGAGCTGAGCTAGATTTGCCTTAGCGCAGCAAACCGCTTTAACTACTTTGCATTGCAGATTATGTGTGGTACTCTACTGCATTAGAAGGGGAAGGTGCTCTAATACGCTCGGATAACGTGAACTCGCGTTAAATCACTTAGTTTTCTTGTGCATGGCTTGTGCACAGATGTGCATAGCGTTTGCCCAGAATAGGCTGTTACGCAGGAAACCCAGACCGGAAGTCTGCAACAGTACGGGAGAAACAGAAAGAGCGCTGCGCCGCTGCTGGGCCAGGGCCGAAACAGGCAGAATAGGGGTGACAAGGCGGTTCGCCTTTTGCGAACCCCTACTCTGCCCATTACGGTCCCTACACTGAGAATCCAAATGCCAAAGCATTGCACATGAGCAATGCCTCCCCATTCCCATGCAATAGCATAGGGCATTTTCGGGGCGCATTGCACGAAAGGTGCGACATCTCAGCTGCATTGCACCATACCTGTCATACTCATAGCGTTTGGAATCTCAGTGTACCACTGCCTAGCTCAACCGCGCGACGCTCGATTATTAGTCTGGTTATCTGAGTTCCGGTGTAGGTTTCCCCCTAAGCAATTTATAGAGTATTCTAAAGAAGCTCAGGCCCGGAAGAAGAACAAAAACGGAAGTAAGAAATTGCAGTTACTTTGAGAAATGCGCATGAGGTCTGCAGCTTTCCTCATAGAAACAGCAATAGGGTACTTTCGTCGATCCTGAGCCGGAAGCACACAGACGCCATGTCGGCGGAAGTAGATCTCAACTTTCATATGGGAAAGGGACGATATCGATATAGTCAAACGTATCGGCCACACTTGAACATTAACAGCCGTTTTATACTTATTTGCGGGGCATGTGTTTCGCGAGCAATATATGTACAGCTCGGCTCTAGTTTTAGTTCGGAAGAGAGGTTAGTTTCCGGTCAACATGGCGTCTGCTTGCTTCCGGTTCAGGATCCACGAAAGCACCCTATTTCTTTCTTCCGTTTGGGTTCTTCTTCCGGGCCAGAGCTTCTTTAGAGTACTTTATTGAGTATGCGCATGAAACGTACAAATTCGCTCTACAAACTCAACAGTGCCCTCAACACACTCTCATCACATCCTATTCAGGAGTACACTATTTTTAGCATGTACCCATAAGTACACTCCCTTTAGCGTGCATTCACGAGTACACTCCCACAAACGTGCACACAGCTATTTATGGAAACTAGAGTGCACTCTAAACGTCTTACAGTGAAATTTCACCTATGTTATTCGTATGTTACAGTGAATTCGGCGCAAGCATAATACGAAGCAATATTCCTTCGTAACACGAATCTTTTTCGCTTTTTCATTGTAAGATACAAAGAAAAACCTTCGTAATATGAAGAAAAACCACCTTCATACTATGCTTGCGCGATTTTCTTCGTATTATGGGAAATTTCTTCGTAAGACGTATAGAGTGTGTATACTGTCATCAGCACAGTCTCGTTGGAGCGGACTCATCTAAGCACACACTGTGCCAAAAAATCACAGTGAATCCTCGTTATTGTTTTGCCCAAATTTACTGTAGTTCAGCATACAGGGGTTACTGCACATGGCAGGATAGACTGTACCTTGGACAGGGTTTTCCGCACTCTAACTCTGTTGCACAGCAAATCGCGTGAAAGTACAGTACTAGATTCCGTTATAAAAGTACTGTAAATCCTGTTCTCTGAATTGCTCTGTCGTGCTTGGTCCTCACACCTTTCGTGTCAAAACTAGTATTTTTATTCTTAAATTAAAAGCGACCGTAGGGATGAAAGGAACTCTGACGCTGTGACTTCGTACTTTAATAAAGTAGTCTTATATGCTACTTTCAGGCGAAGTAGGGTTTCTTTGCCGGCCTTTCAATGTTATATGTCACCCACGAGTGTTCGCGTGTGATCTGTGCAGGTGGATTCCTGTCTGGCTCGAGCTGTCGGAACTTCGTCCTTCGTCGTACATCTGTGGCGATGGATAGTGAAGCAATGGTCGAGCCGGAGATATCGGTAAGAATTTCCTTTTCCCTTACCGTGCAGCGCGTTCCAAAGTACACTGAGAAAACCTTATTAACTGTTTCAGGCCTTACAGAGCAAAGCAGTTTGTTAGATCAAAGTATGTTGAGCATACATAAGCTTACAAAGAAAATACTTCGTAATTTACGAACCATTTCTTCGTGTATCAAAGTTAATTAGTTTGTATGTATGTATGCTCAAAATACTTCGTAAGGTTTTAAGGGTGTACGTCCACAGTCGATCATCTCCGATTCTGTCTACATTCGGCTTCAATGCACTGGTAAAACAAAGGCATTAAAATTACGCCCTTTGGGGCATAAATACTCTTTTACGCTCTTTAAGGGCATGAATCGTTTTATGCCCTTGGGAAGGGCGTAAATAATATAAGAATTTGAAGCAAAATTTTAATGCCTTTCCAAAAGGCATGCCCCAACTCCTATTAATTTCTCAGTTATGGAGGTTTACGTTAACTTTTAGTCGGTTCTCCCAAATTCTCCTCACAACATATGCTTAGATACTACAGGATCTAGGAATCTTCAGATTCTGGCCATTTTTATCTCTTTTTGAATAGGAAGAAGATAGCGTTGCCCTTTTTTTAATATCTGCCTTACTCTTCCTGAAAAACCTTAAACAAGACCAAAATGGGTCAAAATCTCGCAAATTTGAAGAAAAATAAAAATAGGCCTGATCAAATACCTGTTATCGACCGATATTTTTAAATCTGCCTACGCTTCCTATGCCAAAATACATAAAATTGCCAGAATCTGAAGACTGGGAAGCTAATCTTTTGTCGTGAGGAGAATTTGTGAGAAACGACTAAAAGTTTACGCAAACCTCCATAACTCAGAAAGTACACTGGTAAAACTAAAGCGCAACTTTATGCTTGAGTCAAGCATAAAGTTACGCTTGAAGACGTTACGGTTGAAATGAAGCATACTCTTGAAATTCCCCCCAAATTCCCCCCTGCATTTAGATAGGAGGAATCTTGACGGATGAGCCTGTTACGCTTGATTTCAAGCGTAACCTGATTATGCTTGAAAACAGAGGGTAATACTACGCTTTAGTTTTACCGTTGTAATAGGAGTTGCGGCCCCCAGCTTTGGGAATAAATTATACTAATAGTGGTTGAGTTTTGACCACAAAACGATCTTCCTGAGACAAATATTCCTAGGACATGCTAGTTTCACTTCACAGTGTCCTTATCTGTTAGGAATTGCACTGTAAAAAATTCCGTACTTTTGTACGGAAAATGTTTAGACAAATATAGTACGGAAGTACGGAAAAAAGGACGGAACGTCCGTACTTGTCCCATTAGAACTCATGTAATCGGGTACGGAAAAATAGTACAGAAGTTCTAGGTCAGGTACGGACGGTCCAGGCAAATTGTTGACCAGACATGTTCCGTACTTTTTCCGTTCTTTTTTTCTCGCAGTGTGGGGTAAACTTAATCCAATCAGATGGATCATGCAATGGGATTGGGTCAAACAATTTGGCGTACTGATGCAAACCATCCTGAGGCACAATTGTAAGATAACCGTAGAACGGGGTAATATGAGACATGAAGGAAAATTGAGACACAGCAGCGCACTCTTTTCGGTTTTTGTCGCCCTTACAATAGCGAAGAGTTCCGAAACCTAGCCAAGGACTATTCCAAACTTGTCCACCAGCCCCGGACAGTTCCGCTTTCCCTCTGGTTAGGCCCGAATTGAGTCCGGGCCGAATCGGAGTCCGGACCCGGGCAGTTCCGTTTCTTTGGGTTTTAGAACCACCCTTTGTCAAGGACTGTCCGAAAGAGTCCTGCCTAGGTGCAGCTGTCCCGGACCGCAGCCCCTCGCTGGCCCAACCCGCCAGGCCCCGCGAGGCTCGAGTCGAGCAGAGGCGAGCCCGGGGCCCAGCCGGGCCCCTGCACCTGAGCCGAGCCGGGGCGCCGGACGTCCCGGCAACTGGGTACGCGGAAATCGCCGCTCGCCGGCATGCCGAAGCACGCCGAAGGGTCGCCGAGGTTACCTGGCGCCCTGGCGGACGCGGCCAGAGATGCGTTTTCGCCAGTTTACGGCGAGCTGTTGAGCGAGTCACATCGCACAGCAGCGCCCGTGATCAGTGAACAGAAAAACGCGCACAAGTCACATCTACTTTTCGCTCGATACTTTCTCGGAGCGATGTTCAGGCGATTCGCGACTGTTCTGGAAGTAATTTTTGGTGAGGTGTCGTGTACGGCGTTTTCCTAAACATTGATCGAATTTGAGTGCGTGCTGTACGAAGTGTCCCAAAAAACAACTATCCGCTGGCTGCTGGCTACCGCAAGTGTGTGTGTCTCTCAAACTTAAAGGACGGGCGGTGAGAGGGTGGGAGGTGTATTATTTTATTCGCCTCTCTTCTTTCACCCTCGTCCCCAAGTGTTTCCATCATTTGCAAACAACTTCAACGAGTTCGCTTGTGCAGGCATGTACTTGCAGGTATGATACACTTAGTGCATGATCAAAATTTGTGTGTAATATTCCACTGGAGGCTAATCGCGCCCCTTGCCGTGTGTGACCCGCCACCATGCCCCCCGAGCCGAGCCGAGTCGAGCTGAGCCGAGCCGATCGGAGCCGAGCCGCCTCGGCAGTGGAGGCTGCCCAGCCGAGCCGGCGCTAGGGCGCTGCTCCCGCGGAAAGTCCCCGGCCGGCCGGCCGAAGCAACCTGCGTCCGAAGGGAAAGGGGAAGGGACAAAGGGAGGGGCGAGGGGCAGCAGGCTGGTGCATTTGTTCGGACTGTCCGTTTTTCGACTAGCGTTGGTACTCAGGACAAGTCCGGAATCTTTCTGACTTTGGTCTTTTTCAATGTTTTTGGGAACTGTCCGAGGACGGATTTAGGAACTGTCCCCGTCCGACTTTCGGAGCCGTTTCGGACGGTCCGCAAACGGCTGTTTTTGGCTGCTTTTCGGACTCCATCATTTTCGTACGGGCGTGTTGCTATCTAGCGGTTGTTCAGAAGTCCACCGTGAATTTTTTTCGTGATCTAGGAGGCCGTGGCAACTCACGGGAAACGCACGAAGGCTATCAGAGACTCGCCAGGGTTATGTAGCACCAAAGGAAAACCTCTAAATTCTAACAAGTTTTATAAAGTTAGTTAAAACCTCCCCAGAAACCTCCGTTTGAACCCGGGTTCTCGTCCGAACGAGGTTTAAATCTGTAGGCAATTATGTCAACATTATCAGGACAAAATTTGGTTCCGTTATGTCTACTCCCGGGCTGCCTGTACCAGATGGAATAAAATTTTGTTACCTTGCAGGGAAAATGGAGACACCTCTTTTCGCTTGAAACATGAGGCCAAACATACTCTACTGTTAATAATTTCAAGTAAAAATGCACTCTTATTCCAGGAACGTGACATTACGTTGAAACGAACGTGACAAAATGTCACGTTCGTTTGAGCATTGTGTCACATTCGTTTGGGTGTGAATGGGCCAAAAATCAGCTTGTTCACATTCAAACGAACGTGACACAATGCTCAAACGAACGTGACATTTTGTCACGTTCGTTTCAACGTGATGTCACGTTCCTAGAATGAGAGTGTGATTTTAACACGAATTTGTTTTACTATCTGACCGGCATCTATGCTCTTCGTTTAGTATTTTCATGTGAGAGGCACAACTCATGACTTTTTATACATTTTTCACCTCTCTTTAGTGACACCCATTTTTCTCCCCTCCAGATTTTATATCATCTCCATTATAGTTTCCAATCATCTTTAAAATGAGTGAAAAGAACTTTAAAAGCTCCAAACCCGCCTAAATGAGTTATTTCTCCATACTTCACAGGTAAAACTAAAGCGTAGTATTTATTACCCACTGTTTTCAAGCGTAATCAGGTTACGCTTGAAATCAAGCGTAACATGCTCATCCGCCAAGATTCCCCCTATCAAAATGCATGGGGGAATTTCTAGTCTATGCTTGATTTCAAGCGTAACGTCTTCAAGCGTAACTTTATGCTTGACTCAAGCATAGAGTTACGCTTTAGTTTTACCAGTGTTCTTCAACATTTCTTTCTTTTGTCTCATATTACCCCACATTTGCAGGGAAATATGGGACGGCATTCCGAGGGTTATTGAAAGGTCCCTACTGCACCTAAAAATCTGAAATTTGGTGGGAGTGTAGCCAAAGGGTCAATGAACAAGTGATAAACACGTGTTCATCCCTCAGTACCTCAAATTGAAATTGAGAGGGGAAAATTCACAAAAGAACTCGAAATTTGTCTCATATTACCCCGTTCTACGGAACTCAATTTGAAGATTAGTCGAATTATTCCCTTCTTTCGCTTCCTGGATCAATCCGCAGTGCGATGAAGGGCCGCTGATCGGCTCGACCGTGCGACACTGTAAATCCAAAGGCAATACTTTTAGTACCTTTTTTGGCGATACAATTGAGTATCGCCAATAAACGGCCTACGGAAAAGTATTGCCTTCAAAACGGCAATACACAAAAGTATCGCTGAAATTTGAAGTATTCACAGAAAATACAGAGGCAATACTTTTAGTACCTTTTTTGGTGACACAATTGAGTATCGCCAAAACACGGCCTTACGGAAAAGTATTGCTTTTAGAACGGCGATACACAAAAGTATCGCCGAAATTTGGCGATACTTTGGAGTACTGCCACGATTTGGCACTAAACGTTGAACAAATCAAGGGGACGAGTTCTTAGTTTAATGCCGTGGTTTGGGTGATACACTGAGAATCCAAACGCTATGAGTATAGCGTCAATTGGTGCAATACTAAAGCATTGCACATGAAGTGCAATGCCTTCCCATTCCCATGCATTAGCATAGGGCCTTTTTGGGGTGCATTGCACGTAAGGTGCAATACGGCTGAGGCATTGCACGTATGGTGCAATATGTGCTATACTCATAGCGTTGGAATCTCAGTGTACCCAAAAATATCGCCAAATTTTGGCGATTCTTTTGTGTATCGCCGTTCTGAAGGCAATACTTTACCGTAAGGCCGTTTATTGGCAATACTCAATTGCATCGCCAAAAAATGTACTGAAGTATCGCCTTTGCATTTGCAGTGTTGCCACGATTTGGCAATAAACGTCGAACAAATCAAGGGGACAAGACGTTGGTTTAATGCCGTCGTTTTGGCAATAATCCAAAAGTATTGCCAAATTTTGGCGATACTTTTTTGTATCGCCGTTCTGAAGGCATTACTTATCCGTAAGGCCCGTTTATTGGCGATACTCAATTGTATCGCCAAAAAATGTCCTTGTATCGCCGTTGCATTTGCAGTGGACTCAACGCGTTCCTCTCTGCCCGCAGCTGCTGTCCCTGCCGGACGACGCGCTGCTGGCCGTGCTGGCGTTCCTGTCGCCGCGGGAGCTCTTCGCGTGCCGCGTGGCGTGTCGCCGCCTCCGGGACCTCTGCCTGCATCAGCACCTGTGGCGGGCGGCTTCAGTGGAGAGCGAGGGCGTGCTGCGCGCCGCGTTGGCCCTCGCGCCCTGCATCGGGACCATCGCCAAAGTCCCCATGGAGGCTCTGGAACCGCTCGTGTCCGCTTCTGCCTGCACCGTCTCCGGGCTCGAACTAAGTGTGTATGGAGAGAAGTCAGTCGCCCTGGCCTTAGCTTTGCTGTCGAGATTCTCCGCTGTCTCCAGCGGGTTGAGGTTGACAAAGCTCACCTTACATCTTTCGTCATGCCTTCCCAACGCGACAGCCTCACTTATCTTCCAGGCGCTTTATGCCTTCAACGGCCTCCAGGATCTTACTTTCGATAACGACCTAGATTCAGCTGTATTGGGTGAACTCGAAGTGCTGCCGTCCTTGAGGAAGCTCATTTTAACTTCATCTTCCACGGGTGCCTTCTTCAACCTAATGCTGAGGACACATTTTGCAACTTTGGAAGATGTTGATATTAGTTACCTTAAAACTGACGTCCCTTGGTCGTCTCTCGCCAGTTTGTCCAGGCTGCGCTCGCTGACATGCTACCAGGGTGAAGGCCTGTCTCATTTGGCTGCATTGCCCATTGCTCACTTAGATATCTCTATCGAAGAGGACGATGCCTGCGCTCCGGGTGCTCTAGAGTTTCTGTCTAAGGCATCCCACCTGCGGACCGTGAAGCTGTCCGCCACCCGAAACGTCATCAAAGCTCCTCTGCTTGCTCTGGGAAAGTCACTCTCGGCACCAACTCTGGAATCACTTGACGTGAACGGTGATTACGATTTTCGGTGGGCCGGTGTTGCGACGATGGTGACACCCGTTCTCGTTCTGTCGAAGTTTCTCTCTCTGAAAAGCCTTATCCTGACCATAAATAATGAGCCACTACCGGAAGACCTCCTGCAGGCTGTGAGTCCGACGTCCTCTCCCTGCCTCACCATGCTGGAGCTACACGTCAAAGAAACTCTTGAATTGTGGTTTAATGATTCAGAATCAGAAACGTCCCTTTGCCTCCATGAAGCTGTGCACGGTCCGTTTGTCCTCGACCTCTTCGTGCGCAACCCCCGCCTGCACCTTCGTGTGGTGGAGTGGTACAGGTATTACTGCAAGGATTGCTCGTGGTGTTGGTGGGGCTGCCATGCGCGACTTCACCGTGAGGCTGTGGTTTCATTGTCGTCGCACAGCTTGGGGGCCGGGTGCCCCCTGGACTGTTATCAGGTCATCAAGTCTGGTGGCCGCCCTCACGCCGCGGGTTGAGAAAAGTCTGTACCTAACTGACAGTTTATTTTCTGGAAATGATTAAAATGGTGTACCTAACTGACAGTTTATTTTCTGGAAATGATTAAAATTGTGTACCTAACTGACTGTTTATTTTCTGGAAATGAATAAAATGGTTTCTTACTGTGTTTTATTTTAGTTCCCTTCTTTAGCACGTGGTACGATTTAACCTTTAGACATACATCGAGAATTGCAACTCACATTAACGTGTCGTGTCAGCGCAAATGGAAGACATGAAAAGAAGCGGTCCACGCAATACCCAGAAAATGGCGGCACTCCAGGAACGTGACATCACGTTGAAACGAATATGTGACAAAATGTCAGGTTCCTTGGAGCATAGTGTCACATTCGCTCTGATAACTGAGGTGTGTACATAGTACACTCTTATTAAGGGGGGACATCACTCCACTGTAAAAAATTACGTACTTTTGTACTGAAATAGTACAGAAAAATATAGTACGGAGGTACGGAGAAAAGTACGGAACGTTCCGTACTTGCTCCATATGAACCCATGTAAATGGGTACGGAAAAAAGGTACGGAACGTTCCGTAGTTGGCAAAGTACGGACGGTCCAGGCAAATTATTGACCAGACATGTTCCGTACTTTTTCCGTACTTTTTTCTCACAGTGTCCAAAATGATCAAAAATTGCAAATTTTTTTTATAAGTTAATAATATAGACCATTCTTTTCTGCGTCGAATGGTGAAAACCGCATTCCGAAATTCAAAAAATTGCAGTTGAAGGAGGTTGTGGGCCGCAAATATGCATAGAGGAAAAGCCCAGTTTCCCCAACTTTGATCGCGTTTTTCTCGGAACATGAAATTGCAAACGGTTGCAAGCCTGTAGAGCGCAGTTTTTGAGCTACAGCGGGGAGATTTAGCATGGAAGCTCCTACGACATGCCGCTATGGTGGGTAGCAAAATAATTTGCATTGGTCAATTTTTATTATTTTTTTAACGTTCAAAATTGAACAATTTTGACCAAAAAAAATTGAACAATTTTTTTGGTATGTAACAAATACAACTTCAAATGATTTTTTAAATGTGATTGAGGTACCCACCATAGCCAGACATCTCAGGAAGGCTGTCACCAAATTTCGTTGTTCTAGGTCAAACCGTTTGGCGTCCAGCGCTGCAACAGTGCGTAATGGTCTAACCTAACACTCAAAAATGTGTTTTCAACGAAAGCGCTGTACTGCCCTGGCGGATTGACTTTGTGTTGTTTTATACTTTATCTGTTAAAATATGAACAATTTTTCTCTTTCCGTTTGGTTTTTACGACGTATTTACAAAAGCACTGTTTTTGGAGTGATGTCCCCCCTTAAAGAATGCTTTAATCTTGCTTGTATGTACGTGCCAGGCACACTCTGACGTGTGCCTAGCAAGCATGCTGAAAATAAGACTGCTTGGAAGTATGCTCTAAGAAGAGTGTACTACATTCACACTTCAGTTTGCAGTGCGTTTGATTGTGAATTCACGGTGAATTTACATTGGAACAAATGTGACACAATGCTCAAAAGAACGTGACATTTTGTCACATTCCCTTTGGAAGTGATGTCACGTTCCTGGAATGAGTGTGTTGATATTCCTCCGAAGAAATTTTAAGAAGAACCGACTATTCTGCTTGTAATACACAGCTATTTCTTAGCAGGCTTTGAAAAAAGTCCCCACACTAAACTACTGTTTTATTTTGTGCATGAAATTCTCACATACTTGCGCATGCGTTTTGAAAAGCACGAAAGTGTGCAATGTTGCGCATGAATTCGTGCGTTTCACGCGCATGCTCAGTTTTGAGCAAAAGCTGTACACAAAAGTGACTACGCATTAATCTAGTGTGCTTTGTAGCTTACGAAGGATTTTTTTTCTTTGAACAGTAGTATGTGGTACCGTAAACGGGTTAGGTTGGGCAATTCAATTCAGGGGAATCAGTCAAGGCACATTTCTCTGAATTTCTGTGAATGATGACCAAGGTTGAAACATAGCACACTTGAGCACTGCGATAAATAATTTCACCAAAGTGTTTTTATCCTCTTTATTACCATTACGGAAAAGAAAAAGAAATTCCTTATCAAACCTTCACCAATTTTAATACATAGGAAACCACGCAACGCATCACATGAAATAAGAAGGAACTTGGACAGGGGTGCCGAATGAATCCAAATCCACTAAACACACCTGCAGACTAATCGTAATCAACATGAACTACTTTTTCATTTACGGACAAAGAAAAATATACTTTTTGAACCGCATGCGGTTGCAACTGGGGGCTTCTAGTGACATTGAGCTTCTCACTTTAAGAACTCCGCGTCGTTCAGAGTGGTGCTTTGGGTGTTGCCTGTCTGGCAGAAGCAGTCCGAGTAGCCGCGGCCGTACCGCTCGTCTTCACACACGTTGAGACGGCAGCCGGCGCCTTCCAGGGCGTGCAGGTCTCCCTCGCTCTTCACTTGACCGAACATCTTGAAGCCGTGGACTTCCCGCGAAGGCTGCTCTTGGAAGAACACTTCCAAGCGTCCCTTTCCGCTGATCAGCACAGCTCCCCTCGGAACGCCTTGGCCGGCCGCGCAGTCGGGCAGCTTGGCCATGACGCCTTGGAGGGCCGTCACATCCACGTCGCCGTACGCAGCGACCGCCTCCTTGTCGTCGTCGTCCACCTCGTAGTCGACGTCCAGGCCCTCGAGCGCCTCGCAGACGGCCTTCTTCTCCTTGCTTGTGAGGCTCGCGGCGATCCCGATGCGGATGTCACCGCCTGCAATGTACCAGCTGTCGTCGCAGTTCTCCTCGACGGTCGCCTTGAGGACGGGGCCCTGGAGGGCGCGTGCACCGGCCAGCGCCTTCAGGCGTTTCTGCAGCCTTTTCAGCACGGCTTCCTGTAGTGAGAAAACAAAAGGGAGGCAATTATTGTCACATCAGTTCACACTAAGTGTTTTTCAACAAATTTTGTGTGAGACGTCACAGCTTCTCAGCAAACTTTAAGTGTAGTGTGAACAAAGTACACTCTTATTAGAGCATGCTTCCAAGCACACTCTTGTTAATTGCATACTTGCTAGGCAAGTATGCAGGTAAGTGTACCTGCAAGTACACTTTTACTGGCCCACGCTTTTAGATGGGACTGATCGAGTGTATTTTAGAGTGTAAGGTGCACAGTACATGCCAGGCACACACTATTTGATGCATGAAGCGGAAGAAGGGGAGTAACTTGACTTATCTCCAAATTGAGTTTTTATCTTATTATTGTGCCTCAGGATAGTTTGCATCATTACTCCAAATTATCTGACTTAATTCCCAGCAGTTGGAATCCACAAGGAAAATGGATATAAATCAACTAGACCCTTTTTACGGTCTAGATTTCATCAGAAAATGGAGTCAACCGAGGTCCACATGACTCAGTTTCACAAAATGGCAATAGGAAAACTCAACTTATGAGTCTTTATGAAACTAATTTAAAAAGAGTCAACTCAACTTAACTCCTGAATTCGTTTAAGAAAACCAATGGAAAAAGGAGGTAACAAAAAATGTTCCACAACAATATAGACTCTACGCAGACCTCAGCTCCACTTGAGTTGTCTGCATATTCCATCTCGTTTGGGAGAGCTAAGTAAACATGGTTCCTTCGTTCATTCTAACGTAGATATCTAAAACACAGAAACCGTCGACAGAGTGATGTTTCACTTTTGAAAATTTTTACAGTTGTTACTGTTGCTTCTTAGAAAAAAAAAATGCAAATACATCATTTATCT